GACTTGTTCTAGAAAAGTTCCAAACATTGGTGGTATCAGTGGAGCATTTATTACTCTGAGGAAACGCCTTTGATAAGGACAGTACTCACTTGTTTCTGGTATGGCTGATGGATTCACTCACTCTCTAATCAACTGTAAAATTCAGTCAATATTTGCTCCTGAATGACTATCAAATCTGTCCCCTTCTCTCCCTCTTCGCCGAGGTGCAAACCACCAGCACTCCCACCTGGGCTGAAGCCCTGGCTGCCTAACTTGCACCTCTGCGCCCCCCGTGGGCCCCCTACACACCAACTTTCTCCTTCAGCAACGGAGGTCTTCTACAAAATACTTATCTTAGGTCATTTCCCTGTTCGAAACTAATCAATGGCCTCCCATTACTTTTACCAGGAGGACTAGAATCCTTACCATGGTCCACAGGCCCTGCTGCATCTGGCCCCGTCCATCTCTACCTGCTCCCTGCTGCTTTGCCCCTCCCGACACACACGCTCTGCAAAGCGGCCCACATGGGCGTCTTCCAGGTCCTTGGACATTACACACTTCTTTCTTCTCACCACCAGCACTAACATAGCTTTTCCTGTATACTAGCCATTCTTTAAGCATCTTATATATATAACTCATTTAATTCTCACAACTATTCTCCCCATTTCACAGGTGAGGCAACTGAGGCACAGAAGGGATAAGCAACTTGCCCAAAGCCACCCGGTAAGCAGTGGAGCCTGGATTCTAGCTGGGAGGCCGGCTCTGCAGTCTGTGAGCCCAGCTGCTAGGCACACTGCCTCCCTGCGGCCCGCCCACCTGGTGCCCATCTCTCAGGGCTCAGCCTACCTCTGACTCCCTCCACAGCGCCTCCGGTAAGCAGCTTACACCTCCCTGTTCTGTGCCTTCACGCATCCTGCACTTCTCCACAGCTCTTATCACAGTGTAACTGCTGGGGCAACAAGTCAGTGTCTTTTTTTTAGCTCCAAAGGAGCCAGGATTGGGTCTGTCTCTTCATTGCTGTCTTCCCAGCACCCAGCACAGTGGTGCAGGCATTAAAACTAGTATCTGTTGCCTTTTTCTGCCACGTGAGGAGACAGCGAGGAAATGGCCATCTATGAAACAGGAAGCAGGTTCTCACCAGGCACAGAGTTTGCCAGTGCCTTGATCTTGGGCTTCCTAGAGACATAAACATTTGTTGTTAAAAAACAAAATTAAAAGTATGTATCTATACAGTGGATGGTCCAATCCCTGTACGCGGCCTGGCTGCCTCTGCTAGAGGGAGATGCCCCCCACCCCACTGTCCTGCAGGGGCTGGGGAGCAGGCACCTGCCAGGTCCAGAGCGCCAGCTGTCTGTGCCCAGAGTGAGCTTTCTTAGCCTGGCTACAGAAATGATCATTATCAGCAGGAACCTGTGATGAACATTGCTTTGCTTCCTTCTCTGGCGACAGCCACCTCAGAAATCCCAGCCAAAGGTTTGTCAGGTCTTGCACTTAGAGCTAAAGTTCACATGCTTCCTTGTTCCAAACTCCAGGAGCCAGGTACCGGAAACCCAGGCCCTCCTGGGAAGCTGCATCAGGCTTTTGGCAGGTCACCGAGCGGGCAGAGCGCTCAGGGCCAGGGGCACACCCTGCGCTGCTCACGCAGTCGGCTCCCAGCGCTCTCAGGAGGGCTGCTGGAAACGGGGCCTGCTGAAATAAGTGGGGAGCCGGCGCTGAGCTGCCTCCAGGCAAGGACTGTTACTTATAAACCACTAATAGATTTTATAAACATTACAGTATGTCTATTAATCAGGATGAGATATGCTATCCTGTCCCCTGTCCCCCTCTCACCAACCCTTCCAGAGCTTCATCTTTAGTCCCAGCTGCTACTCTCGGCCTGTACAGGGCTGGGAACCCCGGCAGCACAGAGCCAGGCTCTGCTGCTCCCTGCAGTCCCAAATGTGTTCCATGTCTGATGAATTTGGGGTCAACATATTCCTACTAATAAGCACTGCACATCATCTGAGAGCTATTCTTGAAAGAAGGTTTGTGGTTTAGAAAAGGCCATAATTAATCTGTTTAGAGTTCTGATAAAACGTGCTTCATAAGAAATGAATTAGAATGTCTCTTAACATTTTGTTTCCTTCTTCTTGAAGCTGGTCCCATCACACATAATTCCAGTGAAGTGTGATCAGTTGGGAGCTTTAAAAAAATTGAGGCAAGGATTGTTACTTATAAACCACTAATAGATTTTATGAACATTACAGAATGTCTGTTAATCAGGATGGGATATGCTCTGCTTCAGTAATAGGTAAACCTCAAAATTCCAGTGGCTTAGCACAGTGAAGGTTTACTTATCCCACATGCCACTGTCCATCCTGAACTATGCCAAGGGTGCTGGAGATGAAGAGAGGTCTGGAGTTCCATGGGGTATCTTTTTTCAAATGTTTTTTTAAATTGATTTCCGAGAGAGAAAGAGAGAGGGAGAGTTAGAAACATCAATGATGAGAGAGTCATCTATTGCCTGCCTCCTGCATGCCCCCTACTGGGGATCCAGCTGGCAACTCAGGCATGTTCTCTGACTGGGAAATGAACGGTGACCTCATGGTTCATGGGTTGACGCTAAACCACTGAGCTATACCAGCTGGGCTCATGGTATTTTTACAGGTCAGGCTCAGAACTGGCTTGCATCACCTATGCTCATGTCCCATGGGCCAGAACCCAGTCACATGGCCCTAAACTATAAGAGGGGCCCGGCAGGACAGGAGCCCATGGGTATTGGGTGAGCACTGACCTTCTTCTCTGACCCTATTTATTACCTATCGGCATTATGATTAACTGCTACCCAGAGAATGCTTTCCACGGACCAAGCTCTTTACCATACCTTATTAATTCTCACAAAAATCCGATGAGGTGGGTGTCATTAGCCCCATTTCACACATGAGGAGACCGGTGCTTGCAGGTGTGAAGAAATGAACTTGAGGTGACATGTGTAGGTTGTGTGTGGCGAGCATTAGAACCAGCTCTGTCTGACCCCAAAGCCTGGCTGGGCTTTTCCGCTGAATGAGCCCGATACAGAACAGCCTTCCCGCTTCATTAACACAGGTGTCCGCAGGCTCTCCACACCTCACTACTTTGACCCTGTGGCCATGTGCATTGGAGAGCAATACAGCTGCATTTCTTGAAGCAGATGTGATAAGAATTCCTCCCACTCCCCCCGCTGCCCTGTGAGTGATGCTAACCTCCACCCACTGTCCTCTCCTAAACTTCTGAAGAGGAAGGTCCTGAAAACACTTCCTAGCAAAAGGCTTCAAATTCAGCTAGTTTCATAGGAACATCTCTTTTCCTGGTAGGTTTTATCTCCCATCCCCCTAGAAACCTTCTTCCACAGACAAACGACTGGGCCTAAGAGCTACCAAAACCCCGCCACAGCAGTCTCTGTTCCCTCCTTGAGGCTGGCCTTGGCCTCTCTGCATCTTGGGGCCTTGAACAACCTGGAATGCCCCGTCGGGCTGCCAAATGGTGGCAGCAAGGCTGATCAAGTCACTTAGGCTCCCACTTCAGTCACCTGACCACCCCTGTAGAACTTCCTGTTCCTTCAAGACCCTCTGTGACACCTGCAGCCCCCAAAACTAACCGCTGCGTGCACAAGCCTCCTCTTTCAAACACTACATATAAGTCTTTGCAACTTTTACTAGTCCCTGGGGCCTTGTCAGTGCCACCGATGACCTGCACAACTGACACCGATCACAGGAAAGTACAATTTCCTTCAGGAGTTTGCAATGCACTTGCAATGCCCATACAGGGTGTTGGGACTGGGTGTTAGGGGCCTGGTTATTTACCTTGCATAGGAAGTGTTGCATTTCCCAAGGAACAAGCTCTGACTCGATTCATAGCAGCCCTGTGGCCAGTCTCACATTTGGCTGCACCTTAGAATCTGTGTGTCAGGGGAAGGTTTAGGAGTCGCGAGGCCCAGCCCAGAGCAGCTACTCCAAGTCTGGGGTGAGGCCCAGGGATTGGGTTTTTAAAGCTCCCCCAGTGGTCCTAAGGTGCTGCCAATTTGAGAACCACCTGCGGTAGATTGGTGTTTTGCCAGATATCAGCAGGGGTGGGTGTGAAGTGAGGGGAAAAACAAGACCTTTAGGAATGATTTGTTACTCTGGTTCTAGGGCCCAACTTCCTGAGGAATTCAAATTAGCTACAGTCATCTTTAATTTTTCCCCATGACACATTTAGCCAACATAAATGTCATTTATTGAAAAACATACCCAACGCTGAGTGGAGTAAGGCCATCCGTCCGCCTGGGGGAAGCAGCCTGGGATCATGTGCTTTTCAAAGTTGTGAAAGACGAGTCGTTTTTGTCCCAGGCTGCTGCTCACTAGCATAGTTTTTAAAAAGCTGCGATCCTCTAAGATATGGGCAAAGAGATAATGTTTTTATTAAATCAAGATGCCGTGTAGATATTCCTGAGTATAATTATGGAAAACGTCTTTTGAACATATGGAAAACGTTCTCTTTGGACAGAGCCTTCAACCCTTCTAGGTGAGCTCTGGGGGTGGGGTGGGGGGAGTCAGCTTCCGCATCAATAGGAAAACGGCTCTGCAATGTGGCTGTACAAGGAGCTTCAATTCTGCTCTATACAAATGTATTACAAATGTGTTTTATTTTAGCAAACTTGCAAAGAAGGAAAAAACTCGCCTCATTAGATAATTCACTTAAAACATGCTTAGAAACTGGTGCGGGGCTATTTGTTTGTTTTCCAAAGGTATTTGTCTCCATCACCCTGGGCAGTAGGAGGTGGCTCTGCCCTAACTTACCTGGTGGCCCCTGAATCCCACTTCCTGCCTTCTTTCTACAAATGACCAGAAAGCAATGTGTTCAGCCACCTCCTTTGTTTCCCACAGGGGCTTCCTTTTCTCTAAGCTCATCACGCTACTGGGAGTTAGTCACAGGAAAGGTAGGTGAGGGGTGTGGGATTGAGTCCTTGGGACATCAGGCCAGGACTTTTTCGTTGTAACACAATAAATACTCAGTAGTCACAGTGCTCTAACTCATAGATGATTTATTGCTTTAAGTAACTAAACAAGAAAGAGATAGGCTGTTGTTTTGGTCAAGACACCAGTCGCATCTACTTAAAGCCTTAACCATACTTTCTGGACAATATAAACACGTGAGAGCATACATAGGAAACAACTTGGCCAATGATACACAGATTAAAGTAGCACATGACGGGGGCAGCCAATCTGTCGGGCTGCCCTGAAATGACAGAAAGAACATGAGTTCACACGATGTGCTGAATACAAAACCTTTAAAAAATTTTTTGGCATTAATACTAACACAGAATACTTTCTTGGACACTCTGCACAAGCAGGTGCACACACAGAATTACCTTTTCATTTCCAGATTACCAGCATCTACGGGAACACTTTGAGGAAAGCCAGGAGGTGGAGCACCTCCCCTCCCCTAATGTCCTTTTCTTTGCCAAAGCAGCAGGGGCCTGGGCTTTAGGTGAAGAGCAGCTGACAGGGTTCCAGGGGTTGTTACAGTCACCAGGGAGCTGCAGAGGACAGGAGAGGATGGACACCGCCCGGCAGGGTGTGGGAATGAACAACACACAGCCCTAAATGCTCCCTGGGGGCCCTGGGGGCGGACACAGGCACTGGACGGTCCAGACCCTCCCGCTAAGGAGTGGTAGAGCCAGGGCTGGGCCTTCGGCCCTGAGGTTTAGAAGAAATGACCTGACCTCTTGCATTCTAACATTGGGGCATTATGACATGTTTCAAACGGATGTGCATAAACCAACACTGTCAGGAAGCCAGCCCTTGGAGGGCCTGGGCGAGCTCACAAGGAGAGGTCAAGTCAAGCCAAAGGGTAACACAGGGCACCAGGGCCAACCAGCCCTGACCCGGCTGCTGGCGCTGTGCCTGGGGTTGGCCAACTCGTCCCGCTGCAGCACCGACTGCTGAGACTCAGTTGTCTTCTGTCTCTGCAGCCACTTCCTCAGCACCTCCCTCCCTGGCATCCTCCCCAGGATCCGAGGGCCCCTCGCAGCCCCCGGCCGGGGCCCCACAGCGGCCCGCAGGCCCATTCTGCACGGCCCCGGCCTCCACGCGGAGCCGGCCGTCGGGACACAGCTGTTCCATGGCGAACTCTTGGACGGGGAGCTTGGCCTCCTCCGCGGCTCCTTCCTCCTGCTGCCGGCTCGGCACACAGTTTCCCACGTCTCCGGCCTTGGAAAACTGGTCCTCTAGGTTCTTGTCGTTTTCTTCTGCTTGTCGCTTGTCCCTGGAGCCGAGTTTACCTTTGGATTTCCTCGTCTGCCTGCTGTGCATGTCTTCTCGGGAGAATCGCCACTGAAACTGAACACGGGAGAGGATGTTAATAAATAAATGCCGTCTGAGAGGACCCCGGGCCACCTGAGCCCGCCTGCGTTCACACCCATGTCATTTCTCTGCAGCAAGAAACACAATTCCCAGCGTCCCTGGGGCAGGGCCAACTGCAGTCGCAGCCCGAAACACATCACGCCCGCCACTAGAGCCTGCTCGATGCTGTCCACGGCGTGTACTTCAGAGGTGGATTTCTGGGTGTTGTGGGGGCTGCGGGGTACTTCTTTCCGCTGGCCCCAAACCAAAGGCCTGGAAAAGTGGGCCTTGAAATCCTACCATCTGAACCAGCAGGATGGGGAGGGGACGTGAGGCTTGCCCTTCCTAAGGGTCAGCGCTCTGAGTGGGCTGCGGATTACCAAGCACTGGGCTGGCAGCCCCTTACCTGAGCAGGAGGCACAGAACGTGGGGCGCCTGGGTCCCCCTTGCAGGACTGGCAGGCTTACTGCCCCAGCTGCCCAGCTGCGGGGACTGCTGTCTGCTAGCAACACCCACCGCCTCACTGAAGGTCACACTCCCTTCCTGGGGCGACCTACAGCCAAGGACTGGTCCAGGCAGGGTATAATGGCCCATCCCTCCTTGTCACAACTAGGGGCCCCTCTAAAAGGCCATCCCAGCTCCAGAGCCACCTGGAGGGTGGGCTGGCCGAGGCCACAGCTGAGGCAGCACGACAGCTCAGTCTCCAGCCCACTCCGAGCCTGCCTTCCCCGTGGGTGTTCCTGAGGGCACTCCCCTTGAAAACCTTTCTCTGTCCTCAGGTGGGTTTGTGGTGGCATCACTGAGTCCCCGTGCTGCCTGGGCCCGGGATCCCACCACAGCTGTCCCCAGCGCTGCAGCCAGGTACCCAGGGGCTCTGACTCGAGTCCGCCCTCTTCCTCTTCTTCTCCTTTGTGGGACATTCTCATGAAGCAGGGAAGTAGCAGTGGCCGAAACTCAGGGTCTGTATAGTCTAAAAGCTAACTGTTCTGAGTTGCAAAGGCAGGTCGCCTGCAGAATACCTGCCTAGGAAAGAACAAACACATACCAAGGTGCCTACTATGTGTCTCACACAGTGACAGGGTTTCCCATTTCCCTGAATCCCCAAAGCAATACTCTCAATAGGCATTGTTAGAGCCATTTTATAGGTGAGCCCGTAGAGGTTCAGAGAGGTTAAGTAACTTGCCTAAAGTCACACAGCTAGAAAGTAGCAGAGCTAGAATTCAAACACAGCTGCTTCTGGCTCCACACTGCCCTCCCAGCCTCCGTTCTGGGTGGGTGAAAGGCTTTAGGCTCTTGCCCTAGAGCGAAGGGAGGAGGCAACACACCTTTGTTGCCCTCCTAGGTTGGGATGGCTCAGCCCAATGTAGAAGAGTCTCAACTTTCAGACTTTACCATGTTCAGATGCATCTGCTCGATCAGGCACTTGACTCATTAAGCCAGGTGGTCAGCTAATGGAAGTCCAGATTTATGGCCATTAAAGATTCTTTGGTTTGGTTTATTAAAAACAGATATCTATACTGAAGGCTCCCTGACAGGTCCATTTTTAAAAAAATCAATAATGATAAAATTTGGATGGAGGTCCACGGGTAAGGCTGGAAAGGGGCCTAAATCATTCAATTAAGACGCTGGCTCTCAGACTGGAGTGGGCATCAGAATCACTGGAGGGCTCCTGCAACCAGATCACCCACCCCACGTGACTCCATGGGCCTGGGGAGGGGAGGGAGACTTTGCATTTCTAACAAGCTCCAAGCTGAGGCTGATACTGCTGGTCTAGGGTCCATAATCTAAGAACCAACAAGCTAAGCACCTGGGCAGAGTTTAGCTGTGGGAGAAACAGCTGTGAAAGAACCTCCCTCAGGCCTCCCCCAGTCTCCAAGCCTCTGCCAGCCCCCAGGCCTCTGCGAGCCCCAGGTCTCCCCCAGCCCCCAGCCTCCCAGGCCTCCCCCA